GCCTTCTGGCCCCCTCTGCTCCATCCACCCTCTGTTGTCCTCCCGTCGGAGAAGCATTGTTTGAAAAGCACAGGAGTGAATGCTCTTGGGATCTCATCCTTGGGATCTCATCTAACATTGGATGATGAAGACTGAAAGAGGAAAAGAATGAGGAAGCTGTTCTCCATTCATCCCTCGATGGACATTTAGGTTTTTTCTGTCGCTTGGCTATTGTGAATGACGCTGCATAATGGGCGTGCAAATATCTCTTCGCCATCTTGATTTCAGTCATTTTGGAGATCATACATTCTCTAAAAGTGGGATTGCTGGATCATATGCTAATTCCATTTTTAGTTTACTGAGAAACCTCTAGGCTGTTTTCCATAGAGCTGTACCATTTTACGCTCCCACCAACAGTCTATGAGGGTTCCAATTTCTCCACGTTCTTGCCAATGCTTATCTTTTGTTTTTTTGGTAATGGTCATCCTAACAGATGTGAATAATATCTCGTGGTTTTGATTTGCATTTCCCTGATGATTGGTGATGTTGAGCATCTTTTCATATACCTGTTGGCCATTCGTGTGTCTTCTTTGGAGAAATGTCTATTCAAGTCCTTTGTCCATTTTTTTAAATAGGGTTATTTATGTTTTTGCTATTGAGTTGTAGGAGTTCCCTGTATATTTTGGATGTTAATCTCTTATCAGATACATGGTTCGCAAATATTTTCTTCCATCCATAGGTTTTCTTTTCACTTTATACAATGAATGGAGTATTATTCAGCCTTCAAAAAGAAGGAAATTTGGAATATGTGACAACATGGATGGACCTGGAAGACATTATGCTGAGTGAAGTAAGCCCGTCACAGAAAGACAAATACTGTGTGATACCATTTATGCGAGGTATCGAAAATAGCCAAACTCATAGAAGCAAAGAATAGAATGGTGGTTGCCAGGGGCCAGGGGAGGGAAAAATGGGGAATTGTTACTAGTGGATATAAAGTTGTAGTTATGCAAGATGGGAAAGCTCTAGAGTCTGCTGTACAATATTGTGCCTATAGTTAATACCGCATTGCACACTTAAAATTGTGCTAAAAGGGTAAGTGCTCTCACTGTGATAAAAGGGGGAAAAGGGAGGAATTCAGCTGGGTCCCCTCACCGCACACTGCATTTCCTCTAGAGCAAGCCGCACGTGAGCTTTTCGTGCTTTAGCTTTGCCAACCCCAGATCCAGCAGACTGAGCCCCCTGCTTAGGGACAGCCTGGTTCTAAGGGCCACACCTTCGGGGCTCTCAGGTTACCTGCCTGGCCTCTCCTAATGAGCAGATGGGCATCTGCCGTGTGCGTGCGGACCAACCATATTGGACCACTTTTCTCTGCCACCCCTCCCCCAGGCTCAGGGCAATCAGAGGCCCGGATGCCAAGCCTGGTTTGGGGAGATTTTCTCCAGCAGGCCCTGTGCACTCCTGCCTGCCCCCCGCCTCTTCCTGGTCCTGGCAGCTGCATGGGGACCTCTAGACCCGCTAAGTGACGGGGCTGTAGGGGCCAGGGGCCCAGCTCCAAACCGCCTCTGGAAACAATTTCTTGCTCTATTTTGGGAGTCTGAAAATTTCTCTCCTGTCTTCTTGCTGACTTTCTCTGCGGCTGTCCCTGGGGTTCTGCTTTCCCTCTTGCACCAGCCTGCTTGCCGTGTGTGCGCGTGCGTGTGTGTGTGCGCGTGTGTGCACGCGTGTGTGTGTGTGTGTGTGTGTGCAAGGACAGCAGATGGCTGTGTTAACACCTCTGTTGCTCTCTTCTCGACCTCCATCTCTCTGTCCTCTGTTCCTATGTGGGGACAGTCCAGGTCTGTCAGGAGTCCACCCTGGCCTACGCACTGCCTCAGGTCCCTGAAAGATCCAGAGGTGGCTCAGCTGTGGTCCAGTCTGCTGTAGGCATGAGAGAAGAAGCCTAAAACCAACATCCTGCCAAGGAGGGGTCAAGACTCAGTAGAGGTGTGGGGGGCACTGAGGGCTCAGGGCAGACATTGCTTCCATTTGGGGGACTCAGAGAAGGGAGTTACTTGAAGCCTCTGTCCCTGAGTTTGCTCCATTGTAAAATACAAGGAGCCCCCCCAACCCGGCTCTGTCTTTCACAGGGTGGTAGTGAGAAGTGAATGAAGGGGTCATGTTCTAAAACGGCACCTGCTAGTGGGTCAGCATCAGTATAGCCTCCTTTTTACAGATGTACAAGGTCTGACAAGTTAGTGAACATGTTGTTAACCATTTTTTGATATCAGAGGGATTATTTATTATGAATTTGCACCAACTGGACAGTTAACCAAGTTTACTATTCGGAAGTGCTGAAAAGAGTGCGTGAAAAAGTTAGAGGACCTGAACTTTTCACCAACAATTCATGGCTCTTGCATCACGACAATACACCAGCTCACACGGCACTATCTGTGAAAGAATTTTTAGCCAGTAAACAAATAACTGTATTGGAACACCCTCCCTACTCACCTGATCTGGCCCCTAATGACTTCTTTCTTTACCCAAAGATAAAGGAAATATTGAAAGGAAGACATTTTGATGACATTCAGGACATCCAGGGTAATATGACAACAGCTCTGATGGCCATTCCAGAAAAAGAGTTCCAAAATTGCTTTGAAAGGTGGGCTAGGTGTTGGCACCTGTGCATAGCTTCCCAAGGGGAGTCCTTCGAAGGTGACCATAGTGATATTCAGCAATGAGGTATGTAGCGTTTTTCCTAGGATGAGTTCGCGAACTTAATTATCTGACCTCATGTTTGCTCATAGTCACACAGCTAGTGGCTAGCATCAAGCTACTGCAGAGGACTGGTGGCTCCCAGGGCCTGCCTACCCCTCCTCCTTGTCAAGCTAAATCTATCTTTGATTCGCCCGCCATCATAAGCATGGTTGTCTGACATTCTGCCTTGTTGTGCACAGCTCCGTATAAACTCCGCAAAGGCAGGCATGCGTCCGGCTCGCCCGTGTGGGGCAGGATGACTTCTCCCTATATGACCCGTGCTGCTGGTGTGCTTGCTTGTCCCAGAAGGCTGACAAGTCTTTGAGCTTCCTTGTTGCAGGACTTTTGGGTCACAGGACCAAGAGCCCACATCATCAGCCAGCCAGAGGACCCCTTCCAGCTTTGGTATTATGGACGCTTGAGCTCACGCTGGGGACTTGGATCAGGTCATCCCTCAGGCTGTGGATGGAGTCAGAGGGGTGCCCAAATCAGGGGGACAAATAGGACCAAGTGCCTTAAACCCAGGGAGAAGGTGGGGTGCATTGAGCAGGATATCAGTACTTCATTTCCTCATAGAGGCCTCGAAAAGGGCCACTCGGGAATGCATGGGAATGGCCTACCAATCAAGCTAAAATAAACTGCTACATAAAATTCCTCCCTTCAAAAACAATACATTCAAAACAATAGGACTGAAAATTCTGAATACAGGTACAGTTTTGTATGACTGAAAATCAACAAGATACCAAAGATGACTGATGGAGTTTAATTATCGTTGCATGTGTCTGGGTGTCTGTTCACGGGCCAATAATGTTTACAGGAGAAATAAACTAAACACACCTATAAGTCACAAATATTTATGTCTTTTCTGGAACATTTGTTTCTGTTTTCATTTCAGCAAGACCACTGACATTGTCATTGTCATAATGATCTTCGTATAAATTGGCTCTATTGACAAAAATAGTTTAAAGAATGAGCCTCGCACTTTTGTGTTAAGATGTGGGCAAGCGTTTCTGAACCTGTGTAGTCCTGAGATGTAAGCTGCGTCATAGCTGTCATCCTCTCTGGGGACAGTCTCATGTTTGCCTGGGATTTCAATGCAGGTCATACCCCGGGGCTGGGTTTTGACTGAGGCCCCTAGGGTCAGGCTTAGAGAACCTGCAGACCTCCCTTCACTGTTCTCAGCTGTCTTCTGCACCCACCGCCTGCTTTTTTTACTCTACACGCTGTTGTCTGCTAGGTATTTTTTTTTAAATTGAGTTCATTGTCAACATTCAAAAATGGAAACATTTTCACATAAACACCTGGCTTTTTTGTTTCTCTTGAAATGTCAGCAACCCTGGGACACCTTTCTACAAGACAATGTACAACTGAGGTTGGCAGGAGCTTGGGCAGAGGCTGTGTGTGGGGGTCCCCCGTCACCAACCATCCTTTCTTCTAAAGTAAGAGAACCTCCAATTTGGGGGGTAGGCACATGGTCACCCAGGATAGAAGCAACATTTCTCTTCCTCTCTTGCAGGTTGGTGCACCACGTGACTAGGTTCTGGCCAATAGGAGATGAGCTGAAAAAATGTGTATATAATTCAAGTACTTTTAAAGGCAGTAGGTTTGCCCTCCCTTTTCCCTTGCCCCTTTCCTGTTGGCTGGAAGGTGGAGATGCTTGTAGGTGGCCTTCAAACATCCAGAAGGAGACAATACCCTAGAGAGGGCAGGCCTGCAATTTAGAAGAAGCCTGGTCCCCCGATGACGGGGTGAAGTAGAGCCACCAGGCCCACTCACACTGTGATGTGAGGTCAAAATTTAAATTCCTTTCTTGTCAATGCCACTGTTGCAGGCAGTGGGGTGCCCCCTTTATTTTTTATTTATTTTTATTTTTTTTAGGTTTAGCCTGAGAGAGATATGTATATTTTTTGTTGTTAGTTTTAGGTGTACAGAACAATGCAATGGTTATCTTTTTCACCCTTCGCACAGAAACAACCCCCTTCCCCCATCTACTGCCCTCCCACCCCCGATATCATGCTTATCGATTACAATTCCATGGACTCCATTCCCACTCTCTACTCCACGTCCCATGACTATACGTATATATAATTATAGTTGACATACAATATCATTCAACATCAGCTTCAGATATACAGTGCGGTGGTCAGGCCTCGACACCGACTATGAAGCGGTCTCCCTAACAAGACATGAGTCCATCTGGCCCCCTAAAAATATTTACAACATTATTGATTATATTCCCCAGACTGTCTTTTCTATCCCTGAGGCCATATGGTAGTTACCAATTTGTACTGTCTCATCCCTTCCCCTTCTCCTTCATCCCCACCCCCTCCCTGCAGGCTGGTGCAGCCACTGTGGAAATCAATATGGGGGTTTCTCAAAAAAGTGGAAATGGAACTGCCTTATGACCCCGGGTGCCCCCTTTAGATGAGGCCCCACTCCCCGGCTTACCACAGTCCCCAGCACTCTTCATGCTTTCCCCAACACCAAGGTCAGCCGACATCTGCTGCTGGACTTGAGCTGTCATTTTTTCCCCTAATTCTGGCTTACCGCCCACCTGGCCCCAGAGGCATTTGAGTCTGTGATCCCCATGGTCAGCTCTCAAAAACAAAAGGTAAGACGCATCATGTTCCAGTACTTTGGGGCTGCTCACCCCTGTTTTTCAGGGGTGCTTCTCAGTGGCTCCGGGGCTCCCCCCTTCTTTGGAAGCTAGCTTTCCTGACTCATTGGTGCCTGTGAGACCTTTCTCACTTGAGAAGAGAAACACAAATCAGGAAGTTTTAGCTCTGGCAGTGAATGTAAACTGAAGGTTAGAGGGGATCACACGTCACAGCCCCTTGTCCAGCATCCAGCATGGCCTTTGTGTCAGCCTGCCGTCTGCGTTACTGCTCTGGGTGGGCATTTAGAGGGAGGGGAGGGGAGGATTTGGTCTTGGGAGCATCTGCATCCAAAGCCTGTGTGACTCCCTTCTGTGCAGGTGGAGACGCAGGGACAGGAGCCAGCTGTCGGCGTCCCACTTACAGTGACTGACACGGAACACAGCCCACAGACAGTTACAAGCCCCCACGGTACACTTAGCATGGGCAAAAAGCTTCTGCTTAGGACACTTATTTTCCACCAGGATGCTCATTAATAGGTGACCCTAAAGCAAGGTTTGTCTATAGTCTTCAAACAGACATTTCCCAAATTGTGCTCAGCCCCAGGAATGCACTGAGGGCCCACTCCTCTGCCTGGATGACCTGACCTCACCACCCTAACTCCTCCTTGGGTCATGGAGACGGGAGCGTTTTGTACCTGCTGCTCCGAGTGTTGTGACCCGACCAGCAGCCTCAGCTGGACCTCAGGCCCAGGCCTACAGAATCACAACCTGCCTTTCCACAGCATGCCACAGGATTTGTACACACAAACAAGTCTGAGAACCACCGATTCGGCAAAATGGATGAGGAGGGAAAGAGTCTAGGCTTTGAAATAAAACACACCTGAACTCCGGCTACGCTGCTCACTAGCTGAGTGACCTTGCACATGTGTCGTAAGCTCTGAGCCTCAGCCATGACAAGGGAGAAATACTATTAGGTGGAACCATATGAAGTTGCCCTTTTTTGTGGGTTAAAAAAAAAGAAGGCCAAATATAATCAATTTCATATGGTTCAACGTTAATACTTACCATGCCGGACGGTTGTGGGAATTAATTTTAAACTGAGATAAAATATACAAAGCACCTAGATGGTCACTCAGTGGCACAACTTTGATCCCCCTTACTACCCTCACCCCGAAGGCCCCCATGAAAATCACACCCCAAACAACCAGGATACCCGTCATATCTGAAACCCGATTCTGCAAGAAGCTCATGCACGTGGACCAGGGGTTATTTCATGGTGGCGTAAAGCATGTGTGAGAAGAGCTGCCATCATCCCCGCTTCAAAATAGTTTCCATTTCACTTCTAGATGAAGAAACATAATCCTGATTAGCCCGGGGATGTCTCCAGGGCCACACAATGCTGACTCGGTCCCCAGAGTACGGGACCCCAGAGTGGTCCCCTACTTTGTTCTCTTGGGGTTGTCCAGTATGTCCATGGGAGCGTTACCCCAACGGGTTTACAATCTTCCCCAGGAAAAGCAAGCTCCCTGTTTCTGTGTGGAAAGTCATTACCAGGAAGGGTCGATTGAACTCAGTGCCTGGACGGGGCGTGGGATGAAGGTCGAGGTGAGGCCTGGGAGTGAGCTGGATGCTGGTGGCAGCAGCAGCCTCTGAGCCCGCCTCATCCAGAGTCACCGCAGCCTTGTGAGTGATCTGCAAGGAAAGTTCTAGAATCATGAATTGACCGCATAGAAGGGATCAACCAGGTCTTAATTTTTGTACCATTTTTTTTCCTCTTCCTTTCCCTAACCCCATACTTAACCATCTGTTCACTTACCCAGTCACCCATCCTTCTACTTACCCTTTGGATTGTGGGACTTACTACCACCCGCTATGTCACACATCCATTTGTTTCTTTACTGCTGTGCTTTGTCATCCAACGCACTAGATTATAACTTGTTCTACTCACTTCTGTCTTTGAACTTGATTTATGCCTGGGACCTGTAAGCCCTCGCTGTGCCAACACGTTGCTTTCATTATCACTGCTGTCTGTGGAAGGTCATTTAACCTGAGGTCAGAGGATCTGGTTCTACACGTTCCCGGGTGATGTGATCTTGGACAGGTGGTTTCCCCTCTCAGGTGGGGCCCAGGGCCCCCAATTACCCGATGAAGCAACCGAGGCTCAGCAAGGTGGTGTGGCTTGCCTAACGTCACACAGCTAGGACAGGACAAAGCAAGGGTTCAGGCTCAGGTCTGTTTGACCTCAAAGCCCACACTCCCTCACTCACCCTCCACTGTCCCTTCTAGAACGTGTGTGAAATAGCAGGCCACAGGGACCCAGTGCTGTTGGAGAAAAAGAATGCAGGCCTTTGGTGTCGAATGATCTCACCTGACTTCAGCGCTGGCTTGGCACTAACTAGCAGTTGTCACCTAGGGTGATTTTCTTAGCCTCTGTAAGCCTCCGTTTCTTCATCTAGGAAATGGGGATGATAGCACTGACCTCACCAGTGTTCTGGGAGGTGCTGGCACGGTGCCTGGCATGCAGCAGTGCTCAGTGAGAGAGCGGCATGGGAGGTAAGGCTGAGATACGAGCTCTCCCCCTCCCCCCCGCTTCCCAATTTGCCCTCAGCCCTCAGCTTCCCGCTTCTGTGATTCTCCCGCTGAGAGCAGGGCTCTGGACAGTTCCCTCCATTCTCTGTACCTAGAACCCAGTCTGACCTGTATCCCTCCGCCGATCTCGCTAGAGCACAAATACGAATATGCTTTCAACCCCTGGGTCCGTCCCACTTGGCCTAACTAGAATCCCAGGTCATCAGAATGGCTTCCAGGGTCCCCCAGGACCTCAGCTGCGCCCAGATGGGGCACTGTTATTTCCCGGAGGCACCAGCCTGTCCTCCCCAGGCGGTCGCCATGTTCCCTCTCGGCCCCTTCTTCGCACAGCTTGTCCTTCAGGCCTGAGATCAGGTATGAGCTTCCTGGAGCTTCCTCTGCTCTCCCTACCTTGATGGTGTGAGCATCTGTCACCACTTTCCCTTTCCTCATCTGTCACCTGAGGACAGGAATGGGGACTTGTTCTCCTAGAACCCCGGTGCCTTGTGGTAGTAGGTGTGTAATAATGTGGAATAAATGCAGAGAAGCAAAGAGTAACTTGCAAAGTTACAGAAGACGGCACTGCCTGTCTTTAAGGAGATACTGGACATCTTCCTCCAGTAGCTGCCAAGAGTCACCGAGGCTCCACCACCATCCCAAAACCCCATTGCCAACTTACTGTAGAGATGTTCAGTCCAGGCTGCCCAGGGAGACCTCCGCCCACAGTCACTCGTGGGAGGAGCAGCTCCAGTCTAGAGGTGCTGGAAACGGAAAATTTGGGGAAATGGAAATCGAGTTCCCTATAGAGAGACAGAATTGGTTTGCGGTTGAGACCCCCGAAGGGTCCAGGTGTTCCACATGCGCCTCCGCAGGTTTTAGCCTCCGCCCTCTAGCCAGCCTCAGGCCTGCAGCTTTTCACCCTCTTTCCTGCCCCTCGTGTCTCTGCTCCCCCAGCCCCTCCTCTCCAAGGGGGAGAGCGCTTTCTAAAATGCACACTGTCCTCCCCTCAGCATCTATCCCGGGCCCCTTTGCCTCCCTCACTGTTTAAGGGCTAGAGCTCTGGCCTACCAAGGGGCCCCTGTGTCGGCAGGAAAGCTGGGACTAGAACCAGCCGCCACACTCCTGGTCCAGTGTGCTGGCCTGGTGAGGCCCTGGGGTGACAGTGCCATGGGGGCAACAGAGTCCTGGGGGATTAGAGTTCCCTATAGGTGACAATGTCCTGAGGGTGACAGTGACCTGGAGTGACAGTGCCAGGGGGGTGACTTGCCCTGGGGGATTGACAGTAACCTGAGGATAACAATGCCCTGGGAGGTGACAGTGACCTGGGAGGTGACAGTGCCCTGGGAGATGAAGGTGTTTTGGGGGTGACCGTCACTGGGGGGCGCTGTGTGGTGACAGCGTGAGGCGGTGAGTCCACCTCCCCAGGGTTCTGTGAGCATCTACCTTGTCCTGAGCAAGCTGTCCCACTTGATGAGCGTTTCGGGCAGCAGGGCGTCTTCCAGCTGCCCCAGCTTGCCCCGCTTGGGGAAGATGAAGAAGGTGGTGGCGTTCCCGGCGTGGTCCATCTGCAGCACGGTGCACTGCAGCTCGGGGTCGTGCAGGAAGCGGTGCGGGGCCTTCTGTTTCATCATGGGCACCGGCACGGCCCTGTGCTCATCCACAAAGAACTCCTTTGTGCTGGTGGCGCTTGGGTCAAAGGGCCGCGCCCACCGGGCTGAGGGGAAGGAAAACGCCAATATCAATCACCCTTGGAAAGAATGGAGAGCGGGCTCAGGGGTGACCCGTCTGGCAGCCCGTGGGCACGGGGGGGGGGGTCACACTCTGGTCGCCAAGCCCAGCCCCATAACTCCCTCCTTTCTTTATTTCCTGTGCGACCCTGGGGGCCGAGCCCTTCACCGCCCTTTTGTCTCCTCGTTTGTAAAGTCAGGATAAATTGTATCACAACAGCATAGTAGTATTATGATAGTATAAATACTGTTTCACTCGCTGGGCTCAACCTCTCTCCGAGGCAGTTAATTTTAAAGACAAAATGCATGACTGTGGCACAAACTGCTCTGAATGCTGGTGTGGATCTGAGGATCTGAGGGTGAGGCTATGCCTGGCTTTGATGTTTAGGGCAAGCTACCTAACAGTGTGCCTCAGTTTTCCCATCTCTCAAGTGGACATAATAATATCCACATTATTGGGTTGCGAAGAGAATTCAAAACAATTAAATATGCACAGTGACTGGCATAATAATAGAGACTTCATATTTAGATTGTGTGTGTGTGTGTGTGTGTGTGTGTGTGCCAACATGCTTACATAAAACATATGATAAATAGCCACATATGAGTCATGCCTTACTGGCTCAAGGAAAGAACTTTTCTTCTTTTAAAAAATCTGTCTTTTCATCTGTAAAATGGGAACATTAATCTGAGCTTTATCTGCTTTATACAGGTGAGAAGGTCAAATGAGGTCATGAGTGTGAATACCGCCTGAGACCTATAGAGCACTGAACAAATGTGAGCAGGACTGGATTCCTCTGCTGAGATGCCTTGGGGGTGACAGTGCCCTGGGGGATTAGAGTTCCCTGTAGGTGACAGTTTCCTGGAGTGACAGTGCCTTGGGATTAACAATGCTTTGGGGTTGACAGTGCCCTGGGAGTGACAATGCCATGGAGGTGACAGTACTTAAAGAGCGAGGCAGACACCTTATTGGCTCTTTTGGAAAAATAAAAGGTCTCCCAGCCTTGGGACTCTTTCTGCTCTAATCCATGCCTCTGGGACCTGCGAGAAGAAGGGACTTGATGTGCCTTGATTCAGTGTTGCTTACAGGGTTATTCAAAGTGGAGATCATGGCCCTCCTGCAGCAGAGCCACCTGTGGGGGTGGGGTGGGGGGGAAGGAAAGATAGCTTCCTCAAATGCAGGGTCTTAGGCCCCTGACTTACCTATCCCCTAAATCAGGATCTCCTGGGGGTAAGTGCAGGATACTTGCATTTTCAACAAGCTCCTTAGGGAGTTCTTATGCACACTGAAATTGGAAAAATCCTTCTTTGAGAAAACTCAACAGAGAGCATTAAAGTGGGACTGGTGATGAGTTTCCCATCATTTGAGGTATTCGAGCAGGCACATCAGTGGGCAGACCCTTAGGAGTGCCTCCTATATCTAAGTCAGGAGGGGAGGCTTCCCAGGTGCTGTGAGGAGCAGGGCTGCTGTGTGATTGGAGCCCCAGCTCCCGAAAGGAGATTCCACATTGGATGTATACTTTCTTACCTCTGAGGAGCATGTGATTCACCAGGGCTGCTGCAGTTTCATTCCTCAGCTCCTCTACCCACGCCCCAAGCTTCCCCTGGGTCTGCTTCTCTACATATTCGTGGATGAATTTCTGGGCCCCCACCGGGTCCTGGGTGGCCCCTGGGCCCAGGCCGCTGAACCAACGCTGGCCCACAGTCAGGAGGAGCTGGGGGTCCTGCACAGGAAGCCTAAGCAGCAGGTCTTGGAAGCCCTCCTGGATCTCAGCCTCAGACACCATGGTGAGGTTGAACCCCAGGCCCTCCAGGAGTTGGGGCCTGCTTGCTGCTGGGGCCCTGAGGAGGAGCACGGCCAAGGCCAAGGAGATGCTCGCTGGGGAGAAGAGAATGTTCTCTCCGGGGGCCTCCAAAGCCAACTGTCTGTAGAGGTTGAAGGCAAAGTCGATGTTGCTCACGGAAAGTTTGTGGCAGGGCAGGGCAGGCCTCGGAGGGCTGTCCAGGGGGCCGGGGTCCATGGGATCAGGATCTTCTTGGTTAACCAGGGCCAGACAATGTACCACAGCCGTGAGCACAGGGACCAGCAGCCCCCACCGAGAGACCTCCATCCTCTGGTGTCCTTGGTCTGGAAACAAGGGCATGAAAGGACAACAACAACAGTAATAGTGATCGATGATATTCATGGAGCGTCTGCTCAGTGCCATGCACTGTGCAAATACTTCTCAGGCATGTCCCCCTTCCATCCTCACCACAGCCCAGTGGGGGAGGCACTGGTTTTACACTCCCGTTCTACAGATAAGAAAACAAGAGGCTTAGAAATTTTAAGTAATTTGCCCAAAGTCAAGTAGGTGGTAGGTGGTAGAGTCATGACTTGAACCCAGAGCCTGGGCAGAGGATGGATTCATGGTGAGATGAAAACACCCAAGCGAACCACTGTGCACCTGCTGGGAGTGCCCTGGCCACGTAGTGTTATGTGGGGGTTGTTTTCCCCCAGGGACAGCAATCCTGGGCTCTGGAGGTGGCACAGGTCTCATGTCAGCTGTTTTTTCCACCTGCTTCTGTGGCTTCGGAGGGGCCCCTCTGCCCTCTGGGGGTGGGGGCTGGGAAGCTCCACTGTGTCCCCTCCTTCCCACCCCTGCCACTTCCTGTTCATGCAGATAGAATGGCTGTCATCTGACTAACTCAGAGCCCCTCCTCAAGCTGACCTTTCTTCACATCCTGCCTCTGCCTTATCCCTTGGGCACTCAGCCCCTCTGAGCCTGTTTTGGTCTTGGACTTGCAGATAGCTCCTGAGGAGGAAAGGCGGAGGAGGCACCTCGTGGTGCCCGGAGGAGTCCTGGCAACCTGCGCTCAGCTCAGCCTCTGCTGCTACGTAGGAACCCAGCAACCTTCATCAAGTCACTTTGCCTCTTGGGGACTCTGCTGCCTTTCTATTGGGGTGGTGCTAAGAACCCCCCACATCACAGCATTGTAGAAATTCAAAGTGATCATGCGCCAAGCTGACCCTGTTCAGGGCCTGGCGTAGGACGGGCCCCCAGGAAGCAGCAGATATTACCCGGGCAAACTTGACACCTTCCCTCCAGTGATTCTGACTCAGCAGATCTCAGTGGAACCCTAGAATTTATTTACTAAGGGCCTAAGATGACCCATGGCTCTACTTAGGGAGCCACTGCGATCCTTTTACAAGATTAAGATGTAGATTCGTCCACTTTCTGCCTAAAACCTCCAGTGGCTCCCTTCACACCTAGAAGAAACCCCACACTGCTCACCACCCTAGAGGCCCCACATGATCTGGCCCTTGCCGGCCTTCTGGCCTCACCTCTGACACTCCTTCCCCTCCCTCCCTCTTCTCTCACAACCCTGGCCTCCTTGCTATTCTAGAATTTAGCAAGCTCATTCCTGCCTCAGGACCTTTGCACTTGCTGTTGGCTGCCCCAAACAGCCTTTCTCTATTCCTTTCCATGGTTCCCTCCCTGACTTTGCTCAGGTCTCTACTCAAAGGTCACCTCCTCAGAGAGGCCCCTCCTCTGCCTTTGCCACTCCACACCCTGCTTTCCTTTCCTTATACCCATCTGGAACGATAGCTCATATTTGTCTGGCTTCCCCACTGTAGTCTCCAGGAGGGCGGATAGTCTGCCTGTGTCATTCCTGCTCGATTCTTAGTGCTCGGCACAGAATGGACACTCAGTCCGTTTGCTGAAAGGGCAAATGCTCCGTGGGCTCCCAGGGCTTCAGCCCGCCCCCTGGAGCACAAGCTTATCCCTGGTCCTCTGGGACCCCGCCCCTAACACGGGACCAATCCTAGCTCCCCCTGCCACCATCCTCTCGGCCCCATTTGTCCTCACGGGGTTTGGGTAATTATTGACAGAATTAATCATCACCAGCCCACCCCACCCTGCCTCTGATTTTCCATGTGACCTTGGGCAGTCCTAGACCTTTCTAAACTTGAATTCTCTTGTCTGTAAAGGGAACAAGCAACTGAAACTCAGCCTCAAGGAAAGCCTCATCGGTAAAGGTTTGTTCCATATTGTTTATTTATCAGCGGAGAGCGGACACGTCTCCATTTGTCCATTTGCTTGGGAATTTGCTTTGTTGATTATCTTGGCTTTGATGACAAGTTTATGAACGTTCATTTCCTTATTACATGTGATATTCATTCATTCGTTCATTCATTCATTCACTGAACAAGTATTGATGGAAAGTGTGTGTCGAGATTTGAACTTCCTGCTGGGGAGGCGGGATGGATGAGCTCACTGCTCCCTCAGGGGGTTCGGGTTCACTGGGGATGGACACACAGAATTCATGCAGAGCAGTATGAGCAGCATGGCCAGGTCCCCAGTACCACAGCTTTTGAGCCGACAGGAGGCTGTGAACCAATCCGAGCATTGTACAGATGGGAAAACTGAGGCCCAAAGAGAACCTTGTTCCTTCACTTGCTGACTCACTCATTCCACAAACATTCGGCAGTCAGAGCATGAGGAACTGGCAACCATTGTGGGAGTGGGAAATGCAGAGAGCTAATTATAGCGCCCCGAGCAATGGCAGTCAGAGGTGGTTACTTACACAGGGTGGAGGGGGGGCGTGCAGGAGACAGAGTTCCTCGAAGGCTTCTTGGAGGAGGTGGCCCCTGAGCTGAGACTGGAAGATACTCAGCAAGAGCTGGGAAAGGGGTTTCCGCAGAGGGAAGACCATGCTCAAGGTCATGGAAGCAGGGTGAGCCAGTTCCACTCCAGACTATTGTCTGTATGTGCAGCTCTTGGAGCAGGAAGGGTGTATGTGCGTGTACATGTGTGTATGCACGCCCCTGTGTGTGTGTGTGTGTGTGTCTGTGTGCGCACGTGTGTGTCTCATGATGAGATAACTAGTGGCAGGTTTACCAAGCTGGCTGGGGGTCCTTGACTGCAGCCCCAGCCACAGCCCCACACTCACCTGAAATCAAATGCTTCCCATGAGTCTTCAAAGGAGCTGGGGAGATTCAGCTGGTCTTCATGGCCCCCGACACAGAAATTTGTCCCTGTGGGGAGGGTTGTGACAGGCTGGACTTCTGGGACGAACACAGACTGTCCTGAGGCTGCCCTTGGCCCAATGGCCACCTTCAACACAGCCAAGAGCGGAGAAAACAACCCTCCCCCTCAGTTCAGGTTGTATGGAAATTCATGCCCGGGGGGGAAAAAAAACAGCTAGAGCATGCTGGGACTCCGCAGTTGGGACTGGCATCCTGAGGGCGCCTCTCAATCCCACCGCTATTTGCAGACTGACCTCTCCTGAGTCAGTTTCCTCCTTTGCCCCGTTACTGCTCGAGGTGGCCATGCAGATTACATCTAGTGACGCATGTGGACATTCGTTGAAACTAGTAAAAGGCTGAGCTAATTGCAGCCATGGTCCAACACGCATCTGTGGACACCTACTGCCTGCCAGGCGCTGTGCTCGTCACAGCAATGCAGCCCAAATCAGTTCTTGCCCCCAAGGAGCGTGAGTTACGACTCTTTAAAACATCACGATTGCTTATTCATCCTGCTTAATTGTTTTTCAATTGTAATGACTAGTTCTTCAGGAACATCAATCGAATTCTCCACTTGGATGCAGCATAAACAGAAAAGTTAATATGTACTCAACAGAAAGAGTATTTGCAAAGCTTTTGCAACTCAAATACTTGCTCCTTCCTGCGCCAGCAGGGAAGGCACAAAGACGCCCTGTTGACTGAGTGCAGAGACAAAGTTTACATGGGTTAATGGGTGTGACCCAGACTTAATTTTCTCTAAGATTTTTTTATCATTACTTTGTGTTTACTCTCTTCATCCACTGTCTGGACATGAACACCCACACAAGTCACTTCTTGTTGATGTCTCAGGAACTTCATCTCTTCTCTTGATGTTCATTCAAGGGGAATACAGCAGAGGTCTATCATGAGAGTTATTCATTCATTCACTACAATGAAATTCATTCATTCATTCATTCATTCATTCATTCATTCTCTTTGGCATATCCGAATTGCTGAAGATGCACTGTGTACTGGGGAATAAAACACAATCCTGCCCTCGGGGATCGTGTTGTTTCAAATTCAGATTACGGAAGAGTTCAAACATATGCAACCATAGAGAGAATGGTATAATGAACTCCACGTACCCATCAGCAGCTTCAGTGATTATCAACAGAAGATCAATATCATCTTTTCCACCCAGTCCCTTTCCCCTTTGGATTGCTTTAAAGTAAATTCTACACATCATTCAACCTATAAGAATTTTTTTTTAATCCTAGCCACAAAAATGTATATCATGCCTTTAAAAAATCTATAATTCCTGGGCCTGCCGAGTGGCTCAGCTGGTTGAGAGCTCGCTTGGGAGCCCCAGCTCTGAGCATCAGGGTTGCAGTTCGGATCCCACATTGAGGACCAGTGACACTGCTCTCTATAGCTAAGATGATGAACAACAGCTCGACCTGGAGCTGGGCTGCTGTGGGTCGCGGGTGACGGTGTGGGCGGGCTGCCGTGAGCTACTGTGAGTGGCTGGCGGCCAGCGTGAGCGGCTGGCAGCCGGTGTGGGCTGCCGGGAGCCGCTGTGAGCGGCTGACCAACGACCGGCCACCGATTGTCTCATCCAGGAAGAGCACAATGATCATACCAACATGGGCCAGTGAGGCGACGTCCTCCGTAGCTGGACTGAACAACAAAACAGCAATTTATCTACCTGTCTGTTCCCCTTCCCTGATTCCCCAACGCTGTTACCCGCCCAATTCCCCAATAAAAATCTTTAAAAAAAAGAAAAATCTGTAATTCCTTAATATCATCAAATTTCAACTCATTGTTTCCTTAATTGGTTCCCCAATGTTTTTTTTTCACAGTTGGTCTGTTTGAGTTAGGATTCAAACAAGTTCTACACGTGGCCTTTCTAACACAGCAGTGCCCCCTTATCCACAAGGGATCTGTCCCAAGACCTGAGTGGATGCCTGAAACCAGAGATGGGACTGAACCCTACATATAACATGCTTTCTCCTATACATCCACACCTATGATAAAGCTTAATTTATAAATTAAGCGCAGCAAGAGATTAACAACAACAGCTAATAATAAACTAGAACAATTATAATAATATACTATTGTGAAAGTCATGTAAATATGGTCCCTCTCTCTCTGTCTCTGTCTTCTGTTTCTCTCTCTCTCTCTCTCTCCCTCTCTCTCTCTCTCTCTCTCTCTCTCTCTCTCTCTCTCTCATCCTGTACTCATCCCCCTCTTTTTTTGTGTGATATGAGATGATACAGTGCTTCCATGATGAGATGTTTGCATTTTGAGGTGCGACAGCAGAACCAGCACACATTTCTTTTTTCTTCTGCACAATTTCATGGACAGAACATTTGTTCTTACCGTAGATCTTAGTAACGTCAGCATATGATTTTTTTTCTTTATTAAGTTGAGAACTTTCACATTTTCGCTTAAAGGAAGAACTTCACGGCTTCCCTTTGGCACATCCGAATTGCCAGCATCACTGCTCTTGTGCTTGGGGGCCATTATTAAGGGCAATAAGGGTGAACACAACCCCTGCGCTACTGTGAGATACTGCTACACCCCACGGACCCACTCATTCACTACTCTTCCCCTAAGTCCTCTCCCTGTCCCCTTGGTTACCCTCCCCTTGGTCCTGGGGTGACCACTTTCCTCCATTCCTTCTCCCTCCTCACTCTGGTCACTCTCCTTGGTGAACTGACCTTTCTCAGCCAACCCCTTCGACGGAGGACGGGCCTTCTTCTCTTCAGACTCCATGGCACTCATTTTGGGGGCACTCCTCCCCATCAGTGCTCACTTGCTCATCTCAGGGGGACAAATCCTGACTGCTCCCCTGCAGCCCAGATTTCTCTCAGGAATTTCTCCTGAATAAATCCCTTGGTAGCCTCCCAGGGACAGCAGGGTTTTGTTTGTGTCCAGATCTGAATGAGTCACCTCTCCCTCCCAGTATGCTGCGCCTGCTGGTGTCCTGTCTCAGGGAATTCTTTGTCACCACCAGGAACCTAACTGAAACGTGGGTTCTTCTCCCTTCTTCCCTATACCTGCTCACAAAGTCACATCAGTTCTCCTCACAGCTTTCGAATCATCCCCCTTCTAACCTCTACAGCTGGGATCCATTTTTGCCCCCGTTTTCTGCAACAGCCCCCTCAATGCCCAGCCTCCATCTTTGTCCGGAGCCCTGAATCACTTCTTCACAGCAGCCAGAGTCATTTTTCTAGTATGTAAATCTGCTCCTATCAACTCTCTGTTTAGGCCAGCCGAGTGGCGCATTGGTTAAGAGCTGGCTTGGGACACCAGCTGTGAGCATCAGGGCCCTGGTTCGGATCCCACATGAGGGCCAGTGACGCTGCCCTCTACAGCTAAGATGGTGAACAACAGCTCGACCTGGAGCTGGGCTGCCGAGTCACCTGTGACGGCGTAGGCTGCAGCCCCTGGCAGTGGGTTGCCATGGGCTACCGTGTGAGCCAGCAGCCAGTGTGAGCTGCCAAGTGCCGCTATGAGTGGCCTTCCAGAGGCCGGTGACCGACCTGCCTAATCCGGGAAGAGCGCAATGATAATACCAACATGGGCCAGTGAAGCAACATCCTCCACAGCTAGACTGAAGAACAAAATGACAGCAACTTGTCTGTTCCCTTTCCCCTGATTCCCCAGTGCTGTTCCCATCCCCCAATTCCCCAATAAAATCTTTAAAAGAAAAAAAAAACACAAACAACTCTCTGTTTAAAGCCCTTTAAAGCTGTCTATGGCTCTCAGGAACCTTTCCAGGATCCTCACTCAGATTCCAGGCCCTCAGGGGGCCAGCGGCTCCATCACGGACCCTTCCTCTCTGCAGCCCCTCCGTCTCTGCTCCAGAACTGCCCAGCTGCTTTTAGTTTCTTGAAAATGCCCGCACTGCTCTTTCTCCTGCCCAGAACATTCTCCTGTCTGTTTACTTGACCACCTTCTACGCTTCCTCTGATTGCACCTCCTCCAGGAAGCCTTCCCTGACTGAGTTTGGTGCTGTCCTCTCAGCTTCCTTGTTTCATCATCCATCTCACCTATCAGATTCTAGGTCCTGTGAAGGCTGTCACTGTGAAAATCTCTCAGGGCAGAATCGCTTTGTGATTTAGAAAGTTCCTCTGACATCAAGCAGGTTGGGATAACATCCTGCTGTCACACTTGAAACTGCAAACACCTCTCATCTTGTGTGGCCTTGGGGGAAATTACCAAGCCGCTGTTCCTCAGTTTCCTCATCTATAAAATGGGACTCGTAATAGCATCTATCTCGTAGGGCCATCACATCACAAGGACTAAATGGGCTATTCCGGGTAGAGTTCCCAGCAGCTTGCCTGGCAGAAAGATCTCAGCTATGTGTTCAGTTGTTGACATCGTCACTGTGACCTGTGCTATTCCCGAAGATCACACAGTTCCTTATGACATCAGTGGAATGAATGACGAAATGACCACTTTTATTGTCGCTGTGTGTCTATTGCTCGTTTTCTCCCAGCCCCCCATTCTGGTTGTTGAGGGGACCATCTGTCAGAATTGGGGACCTGGAAAGTAGCTACTCTCCCCAAACTGGAAGTGCTGGGGGTCTGAACAAGGGTCTCCTAGAAGGGGGAAGGCCCAACTCAGAGGCAGGAGGGGTCCAGGGGCTATGCCAGAAGTGGTCAGGGTCAGGAGCCCCTGCAAGGGTCAGTACATGGGCAGACCCTGGGGAGGGGAAAGAGTGACACTGGAACTGAGGACCAGGGAGCCCACAGAAGTAAGAATCGGGCAGCAGGTTCCCCTCCCAGTCCTGGGCATGAGGTCTAGGTGGGCTTGGTCCTGACCAAGCTACTGAAGTTGAAGGCAGAGGGGCCCAGAGCCTGGGGTGGGGCTGAGCCCATGTAGGAGGTCGGGGGCTGTGGCCTTGGGCACAAGCGGCTACAGAGCATGGAGTCAGGCAGATCAGGGTGGAAAGGCACAAGGAAAATGCCCTGTCCAAAAAAGATGGGTTATTTGTGTTGGGAGGCCTCAGGGCCTCCGGTTGAACAGTCGACAGGCTTCCTGTGCATGTGGGAGCCACCAGGCAAAGTTGCTGTCACTTGCCCAAGAATGAGCAGACAGGGCCAGACATGCCAGCTCCTCTGTGCACAGAGACCAGCTCCTCTGTGCACCCAGAGACCTGGTCACCCTTAGCGAGGGGTCCCACTGCTCAGAGGGGAGCTCTAGGCTTGTTTGGGGTTGGCAACTTTGGCAAAAAACATGATGCTCTGGGTGTTTTTGGAGAGTATGGATAACAGAAAGGGCCTGTTGAAATTCACAATGGTCATCGGGCCCACTTTTCCAGACAAGAAGATCATTTTGACTCCCGTGGCAGCAGCTGCTTCTGTGCCCTTCTCGGCCACTTCCATCAGGGCCTTGTGGACCACCTGTGGGGACACCAGAGCATTACCCACCAGAGACAGGGTGAGCAGGAGATAAGCAGACTGCCCACGTGCCTCTATGGGGGCTGACATTTAGCGATCATCTACCGCTGACCTGTCACTGTGCTGGTCAACTTGTTTGATTTTTCTGTTCCTCCCAACAGCTCTGTCACCGGTTTTGCACAGTCCTGATGTGCAGACGTGCACACTGCGGCTCCAGGCTGGGAGTGACCTGCCCAGGTCACCCTGACCTGGATCCTTCTCTGTCTGAGCCCACAGACTTGCTGTCCCCCAAACGCCCATTATTGCAGGGGGCAGGGGTGAGGACAATTCAAGGCATGTTTCCTCCACTTCGAAGCAGCAGATGCAGACACCTCCGTGGATTGCACAGGAGGGGCTGGCACGGCTTTCTGTACCTCTCCTGCCCCAGTTCAAATGTCTCTAGGGCCCTGGGCTACTTGGCATTAGAGGTGGCTTCCCATTCTTGGACCACGCGAGCCCGTCCTCACATGTCCTTCCATTGCCACACCTTTTGGAAGGTGGGGTGCAGAGGAGAGTGGAGGGTGCCCAGCTGCCTGCCCCCACCCTGCTTTCAACTACTCTGCTTCTAGGACTGCAATGCAAAGGTATTCTCTCATATTCTTAGTGTATCTTGATCACAAGCGCCCTATAACCATTGTTATTACCTAATGCCTCTTACCTGCTCTGCCAGGCCTGCACACTAGCCAAGACCTATCACCTTGTTTTACCAATGAAATAACTGACGGACAGAGGACTTCAATTATTTGCCCCATCAGCAGTAAAGGGTCGAGCATGGGATGGGGTCCACCATCGAGTCCACCCTAGGCCCTTCCCCATAACTGGCTTCTGTGTCATGTTATATTGCAGGGAGGTGGGGTCCAGCTCCTTGGATGTTTGTTCCCTGGCTTTCCTGGGCTTGGTGGAGTCCCAAGGGAGGGTGGTTGGATAATGAGAAATGTAGGTATCTATGCAAATTAATCATTTAAGCTCCCATAGGAGGGGGAATTGCCCAAACTTTAAAGACTCACCTGAGTAACCGCCAGGTTCTTGGCCCCTGTGACTCCTGACAGGTCAGCCTGTTTGGTGAACACTTGACTCATGCCCAGTTGGGGGAGTATGTGTTCCAGATTATAGCTGCTGGAGATGGAAAACTTTGGCAGGTAGAATTCATGGATCCATCTAGGAAATGAGAAAAATAAATTTGAACATCTGCTCAACTCAGTGCCCACCTGTCTCCGACCTCACAGTGTGGTCCGTCCTGGTTTCTCTCCAACCACCCTCTTCTCTCTGGAAATAAATATTCTTTTCGAGGGGTCGGGCAGGGGCTAGGGGAAGGACATGAAGGGCCTGGGGGCTGGACTTGAAGGGCCTTAGGGACCCTGAAACAGTTGAAATTCCCCATCTTGCCTCCCCAGAGAGCCCCCTGAAGGCTGGGACTGCTTTGCTTCTGAGCAGAGCTGGCAGAGAGTTCTTGGAGCAAGAGGCGATATCTCCAGCCTCCGAGTTTCCCTCTCCCTTTGTCTAGATCCCCTTTAAGACTCTCGTCGCGGTGTGTGGGGTCTTACAGTTGCCCGATAAAAGGAGGCTGTTTCTCCCATGGGAGCAGGCCCCTGACCTATCAGTGCTCCCTCTCACTCACCCTGCTCCAGCCGTTCTGGTCTCACTGATCCTCAAACACCTGAGAGGCTCAGCACTGGCTGTTCCCTCTGCCAGCAGCTAAATACATGGCTCAGTCCTTCAACTCTGTCATGTTGATGCTCAAAGGTTACCTAATGGCCATCCTGTTTAAAATCACAAACTACCTTCCCATCCAGTTTTCTTAATCCTTTTACCCTGCTCTGCTATTTCCCCCTTCTCATTTCTCACCCTTTAACATACCAAATAACTTCTTTATTTGTTGTATTTATCTATTGTCTCTCTCTCCCAAGTACAAAGTAAGCTCCACGAGACCAGAAGACTTTGTGTTTCATTGACTGATATATCCGCAGGGTCTAAATTAGTGCCTGGCACATAGTAGGTGCTCAGTTAGCCCTCAACTGATCACAATTCCGCCTGCCCCTCAAGAGGCTGAGACAAAGAGAGAACAGGCATGCGTGTTGGGTGTAGCAATGAGGATTCCTCTGACTTAGAGCGTGTTACAGTCAGAGGCAGCCTCAGCCCCTGTCCCAGCTGATGTCTTCATCATCTTATAGAAGGAAAAGCTGCAAGCCCAAAGCCACACAGGGTCAGGTAATCCCACACTCCACCTGCCCCAGCATGGGTTCTCCCACCGCTACACGCCCACCCCTGGACCTTTGTGAGGCCATAAGTGGTGGGGAGACGGGCAGCTGGGAAGAGTGGGGATGGCCGAGAAGAGAGGCGGGTCAGCCGATAGCTCCGGGGCCTGGGGATAGTCACCTCATCTGCAGGGAATCTCTCCACCTCTTCAGTGTCTCAGGGCGCAACATGGCTTCCAGCGCCTCCATTTTGCCCTTGTCTGGGAGGATGAACAGGGCGCTGTCGTTGCTGATGTACTTGAGCTCCACCACAGTGCAGGAGAGCTCCTCATCCCTGAAGTAAGGCATGAGCTGGTCCTCAATGCTCATCATGGGGACCGTCACGGACTTTCTCTTACTCAAGTAGAACCTTGACTCGAAAGTGTCGTCGGGGTCAAAGGGCGTCTTCCACTTGGCTAGAAGCGGGGGCAGCGGTGAGAGCAGCTTGTGAATGCCAGAGCTGCCCTGCCCCCACCCCTCTCTGCCAGGGTTCCCTCAGCGGTGAGGACACTCCACACACCAACCGCCGCCCCACAGCTCCTCTTAGGGGTGACCCTACCTTGGTTTGCCAGAACACCTTGGCAGGTGGGGGAGCCAACGGGGGTGGGAGGAACCCCACAGGTCTGGACCGCAAAGGGGGGCTGTGCATTAAAGACCCGGTTAGTGGTGCTAAATGAGAAGCCCACAGGAATGTGGGCACAGGAAGTGTGAGAGAGATGGGGGGCTAGGGAAAGCGGGGAGAGCGGCCTGGCAGTGCCGACGGAAGCTGGCCTGGGGAGAAATGGGAAATCCCTGGCCGCTTCAAAGGCGTAACCAACTGTTCTGCATTGACACTGCAGGGTGTCCACATCGACCCACAGCTGTGAAAGCAAGCAGTAAAACGGGAACCTGAGGGGAGGGCGAGTGCAGCTGAGGAGCAGGACACAGGTCTCCCCCCCACCCCCAGGAGGACTGGGGTACGCAGTGGGGTGGTGGGGACTTCCTGGGGGAGATGAGAGACCTGGGGGCTTCCTTGGATACGTGTAGCCCCCTCCACTGTTTTGTTTTCCACCCCCTGGGGAGGAGAATTTGGAGACAGTCCTAGGATATGACAGTTGGCAGGAAGGGAAAACAGGAGACTCAAAGAACAAACATGACACGTCAGGCCTGGATTAGTTTTACTAGAGGAATCTGGTTCCACGCCTCCATGTGCAGAGGAAAATGCAAGCCCTGGAGAGCTTGCCTGGGCCTCAGCCAGGAGCCCCTAGCACAGGGCTCCCTCTGTGTCTCCACACAGCTCAGGGGTCTCAGGCAACTCACTGCCCTCTGACTCAGTGATCACTCCCTGTGTCCCTATCTATTTTTGTCCCCCTTTGGACTGCTGGCTCCGTAAGGCAGAATCTATCTGCCTGCCTTCTGCTCCCTCAGAACTTCTGGCTGAGGTTTGCATTTGTCATGTTCCTGTCCATGAGGTGGGTCGGGCACTGGACTGACTAAATCTGGGAAAGGGTTCTGTCCTGGATATCACCCTTCCCCAAGGTTCTTCCCAGATGGTGGCCACACCATTCCCTCAAGATTATAAGAGAGCAGTCACAAGACCCCGGGGACAGCCAGTCTCCTTAGAGGCTGTCTTCCCGTGAATATGACCACCAGTCCGCCTGGATCCTCCCAGAGACCGATTCCCCCTGCTGGGCCAGGACAGAGTCCAGGTCAGAACCGCTGGTGGTGTGCATGGGCAGAGGGCCTCCCTGTGCATGCCCAACAGCGGCTCTTGAGGGAGGAAGTTCAAGGTCTGACCACCCAGGAGTGATCTGAAAGGAGGGCATCTTCCTCCTGGGAGCTGAGCAAGTTTGAGTCAGACTAAAAAGTGCCACTCTGGCTCAAAGGGCTGACGGGCTCCTCTGCAGTCATGTCCTGGAATGACAAACTGTAATTTGGAAAACCCCAAGAGAAGATGACGCCTATGGGCAGAGTGGGACCCATGCTCGCCCTCCCTG